TGTGTTTTGGCATTTCTTTGGCGGTGGATATATCTTTCTGGGATCTCACATGATCCGATGGGAACGATTTTTATATATTGCCATTAAATTGTTGAGCTTTTTGAAATTTCGTTGTTTGCATTTTGGCTGTTGATGTGTTTGCTTTGTAAAGTATGAAGTAGCCTCAGTTATGGCCCTCAAAAATTCACACTTTCTTTTGACTTTGGATGATGCATATTATTTTTAGAACATGCTTGCGTAAACAAAACGACGCCTGCAAACCAAACAAATAGACATACGTAAACAATGCAAAGCGAAAACATTGTTTAAGGGGGGAAATACAATTAGAAATTTTTTTTTTTTGAAAAATTTTTTTTTGGCTTAATGTACTCCAAATATATCTGGGAATAAGCCTTTAAAAGCATAAAGCCGTCCGGTACTTATTTTCAGAGTTATACGCAATTTAGTGAGGGTGTGTCATATGGCGGACATGCACAAAAGTAAACTTTAAACGCTTCTCCTGAAAAGTCGTGTTTTCAAAGTCGCCGTGCAATGTACAGGTCAGAGATTTTATTTTAATCGAATGCGGTTTTTTGCATTATGTTTGAAATTAAATTCTCCACACCATGAATATAACGGTTTTTCATATTTGTTTGTTATAACATGTTTTTTTTCAAATCAAAGTCAAAAAAATCGTTTTTTTTGAAATTTTTTTTAACCTAAAATTTTTTAATGGAAAAATAATTTTTTTAAAATATGTTTTAATTCATGGTGTGCGCGGTACCTTTAAGTTTAAAGCCCAGTTGCTGTTTTTTGTTTAAGTCGTGATCCTGGACCTGGAGACTGCACGGCGCAAAGTCCTTCCCTAAAAACACGACTCTACATTATTGATCATAAATGGGCTTAATTACAATATTTTTCAAAAAACTTGACTGATTTTTATTGCTCAATAATTACCTAATAACATGCAAAAAGAATCACTAAGATTCATTTAATACCCTTCTTGCAATCCACTCCCAAAGATAGCTCTCATTTCAGGCCTTCTAATTGTATTTCCCCCTTAAGCGCTTTTTAGTTTGCATATTGAACAATTTTATTGGCCGGGGGCATGGCACTGAATCTCACTCTATTCTTCTTGACCATGAAAATCGGCCAAGTGCAAATAAGAGATCTTCAACCAAGATCATCACGAGTCGTGCACGAAAAGTATAACAAAAGGGAACTGGGTTAATATATAAATATTTAACTTCGGGAGTGATTCAATTTTTTTCCTTTATTGAGCTATAAAACTTTCCATCAGAACATCTGATACACGTCGAATACTTCAAATTTTGTGTCATTGCATCAGGCAAAAATTTGTTTAGGGATGACCACATCACTTTGGAGTCAATAAAAATTGTATTTCTTTGGATATACTTCTCCATATCCTCTTGTAAAAATAATGGTTTAGATTATCTTCAATTTGACTCTATCAATTTAGATTGAAATAATAATAATAATAATACTGGCTGAATATGTAGTATCCTAAACAAAAAGGTATCCCCTTTATTCCTTATCAAATCAATCAAATATATGTCAAAACTTTTTGGGAGGTGACAACATCAGTTGATTGGCTCATCCACCGCAATCTCAATTCAACTTTATCGGCCGACATTATCGGGCAATCAATATAGACGACGTAGTTGTCAAACTTCCTGACTTTGGTTACAGCTTGGCCTTTATAAAGCCTTTTGTTCATACTGGAAAGACTATATAAAACTATATAAAGTAGTTCTAATAGACCGCTCTATTCTTAGTGGCTGATTGCAGTGAGCTGCAATCTGCATTCTGCCGAGTCGTTTGCCTTTATTTTTAAACGATTAGCTCAGAGTTGGTTGGGTTATTCGATATTTATGTTTGGTACTGGATGTGTTTACAGCACACGGCTCTCTGCAGTCTTTCGATTAATTGTTTACAGCACGTTTCTCAATTATGTCGAATGAATAATTAATGCGCGCCTTTGCTTAGCCTATTAATGCATTTCCCAGCACATTTATTACTATTTATTTGCCAACGTGCCGCAGTTCCGCAACGAGAATTGTGTGAGAATTAGATGTGCGAGTAATTTTCCTAATTGACTTCTCCCGATTTCCATATCCCACATACTGGCAGTATCATCCACATGACGTTTATTGCAATTTGTAAGGGTTTGTGATTGATGACTGGAGAAAAAGCTTATGCAAATAGGTAAAACCGAGTTACATCTGTTTGGATTCACCACAACAAATTGATTAAAGATCGGGTTTTCATCGGCTTATCATGTTTCCCAGTTTAACATATAACTTTGTTGTGATATTTGAATCGTTACGAATGAGGGGGTTCTCCAATTAAGACACTTTAAAAAATTACAAATCATTTTATTCTAAGAAAATCATTCGAATAAAACCCGGTAATTCAGCTCAACTGAAATATTCAAATAAAATTGCAATTACTTAGAATTCCTAATTGTAAAGCGAGTGATTCGCCAATTGCCGTTTTTTTAAGTGAATAAACCGTGATTGCTGGTTGGCTATTCGATTGCATTATACCATAATCAAGTTAAAAATAAAGCATAATATCACGAATCGGAAAAAAACGACGGGGACAAATTAATATATGTATGTGGGGAACACAAGTTGATAAATGCACTTAACGTCAAGAGGAATAACAAAACAATAAAGGGGAAGCCATCAAAACAAGACAAATAATGCTACTAGAATAATTGACAAAGAATGCGGCATTTGGCTGAATTGAAGTGCCTTTGATAAACTCATCATGGAGACTTTTGCCCGGTCAATGCTTGATTTATGGTTGCATAAAAAACAGAAATAAAGACCGACAGAAGGCGGCTTAATTAAATTAAGGCGAAATAAAAACAAAGCCAAAAGCATCAAGCTCTTTTAATTGAACATTGTTTTTTGTTTCCCCCTCTGTAGAGCACAGAAAGTCTTTAATGAATGCGACGGTCCGTGATTTATGAGTTTGAATTAGTTGACGCATTTTGATCATCTGAATGTGGCGAGAAACGCGAATTGGCCAAGCTTCCAGTGCAATAGACTCTGCAAATCGCCGACACGTGTGCTACACACAGCACCGGCTTACAAATTGAGTGTGTCACGAAGAAGGTCAGTCGGCAATAGATCATGGCTAAAATTAAATTTCAGCCACAGCCATAACATCATCGGCCACGAAGACGGTGGGAAGCAGGAGAGCGATAGCCAAGCCACACGAGTATAGCCAAACATTTGATGAATCGAACTTTGTTCATACCCCGCAGCTAACTTGATGGACTTGGGTGTGGTTCTATCTATCTATCTATGGATCTCTTTTATTTTTAATGATCTGGAATCTTTCCTATGTTATTAAAAATACAGCGATCTACGAGGTATACCGAATTCGGCCAAAAAATCACCTCAATTAAGTGTTGATTTGATAATTATCTAGTTTTGGAAGCAAATAACCCAGTCACTGAGCTGAACAAAATGATGAGTTTTCAGGCGATAAATGGTTGACGAAAAACATGAATAATTAGAGGGCATCCCACGTTCGTGTGGCATTAAACAAAAGCCAAGAGCTGGAGGCAATGTGCTCAATAAATACGTTATAAAAGTGACAATTTGTTGCCTTATTTATGACTTTATTATATGCAAATTGAGACAAATGTCCAATCTACAGCGTGTACTCGATACCAGCAATCGCAATCGCACTCGATACGCGATACTCGATGCTGGTTAGATCGTGTTTACAGCGCGCTTTGACATTATAATGCTTTGTTATTATTTTGAATTTGAATTCCAATTGGCAAAACGCAAAAACAACTAAGCAAATGCAATACACGCGCTATGGAGACAAAAAAAGGAAAATAATAATAGAAAAAAACATCGCACAAAGATCAAGTTCAATGAATTTTCACACAGTGACAAAAACGGTGGACAAACGATTCCCGGGGAGCGGTGGTAATTTCGTTTAATTGAATATTTTTCGTTTTCTGCTTTCGAGCGCGCGCAAAATAAATATAAATATATCAGTTTTAAAATAACGATGACAAAATCTGCCAAGAACGAGCGCACCAAACGGAACGGATCGCGGTTCTCACAGGCGTTGGGGGGCGTGGCAGATCGTGACGCCCAGCAGATAAATCTCTGCCAACAGCGTATTGAACTTATCGGCTAATGCACACAGAGCGGATAATGGCTAATAAAGTGAATAACCCTAAAAATGCCGGATCTTGATTAATGTTTGGGGAGCGTGTGGAGTTCATAAGCCTTAGAAGGATATTGAACCGGAACATTTAAATCTTTTTGTGGGGTAGTTCAGTTCCTCGTTCTATACTCTCTATAAAACACCTTGATACCCATCAATTCATTGAACAACCCATAAACATTTATGCGAATGCCCATTCACATCTGGATTGCTTTTTTTGTGACCTCGGTTCAGTGCAGATCGCTTGACCTACCAATTGATCACCAATGGTCGAGAATGATGAATGGCCAACCTTAAAGAAACTTTTATTTACATCCTTGAATCGCGAATTCCCTGTTCTGTTTCCATCTAAATATTTACTTCAAGAAATGTTAAACTACTATAAACGAATAGTTTGAAGAATTTAATAAAGAACCCTTCATGTTGGGTTTTTTTTAGATATACGTATATATTTTTTAAATGAACCATTGCTTAAATATTCTTTTACTGAGTAATTATTTCTAGACACAATGTTGATAAAAAGTCTTGCTCACCATAAAAACTTCATGGAAGTATTTAGTTGTTTTTTTTTTGTTTATAAAATTGTATGTCAGTTTGTGTTTTAACTCCCTTCTTGTAGAAAAAGCTTATCAAATTAACCGTTAAGTTTTAGAAACGATATATACAGTAAGTAATCAAAAATATAAGACATAAATGAAGTACAAAAGTGTTTGTGCGGTTTTTGTTGGTCTTCGGTTTGTTGTTAGTTGGTTAGTAATGCCCACAAGCCAAACTTAGGGAAAACAAACGGAAAAACATACCCAAAAAACATTTGCGTTATCTGCGCGGGCGTCTGGCAGACATTGTGGACGTTGAGGGTTCGTGGGCGGGCGTAGAGCATTCCGGCGGGGGTGAGGGGCGGCAGTACCGCCTCGTGGAGAATCGCCGACGTCGAGTTGCTGCGGATGGTGGTGTAGGCCCTGTAATGCGAACTGGCCGATGATCTCAGCTCCACCGAGGTGGTGGTGGTGGTCGTCTCCTCGATCTCGTCCTCCTCCCGTTCATTGCTCGACGATGGCGATGGGGATAATGCCACTGATTCTGGCTTCGATTCCTTATCCATGATTAGCTGATGGTGCCGACTGAGGGGCTGCGGGGTGGCGGGTGGCATTGCGGTGGATTTGGCCGTCGATTGTTTACCAGAGCGCAATTTGATAATGTTCTGGCCACTCAACTTCTTGGCTCGCTTGATATTGATGTTGTGGTTGTTGTTGTTGATGTTGTTGTTGTTGGCGGTGCTGCTGGTGCTTATGGCGCTGTTATTACTCGAAGTTGTGGTTGGATTGCTGGCGTAACGATGTTGCAAGCGCATTTTGTTCGCTTTTCAGGGCTCTCGAGTCAATGGTTAAAATTCCGTTTCTTGCATTTGTTTGTCAGTTTCGTTTGGTTGTTGTTTTTTTTTTAGCATAACCTTAGCCATTAGCATAACTTGTCCATTCTGCGATCTCGGCTCGCCGGCAACATTTCACGACGATGATGCGACGCCGCTTTCACTTTCAACTGAAGAATTTATGTGAAAATAAACAATGTTCAAAAAAGCAGAAATAAACGAAAACAATAAATATAATTCAAATGCAGCGGAAAAGGCGTAGAGGTGTGCTCTGTGTGTGTTTATAACGGTATTAGTCTGGCCAAAATAAATCATTAAATTTTATTTCCCACTTTTATGTTGTTTAGCACTCGCTTGGATTTTGTTTTTTTTTTTTTCTGTGTGGGTGCTGTTTTGGCAAATATTTATGCATAAATATAAATATACATCTTAGGGCATTACGTTTTGCACAAATTAAATTGATTTCTTTAGGGGCGAGTGTGTGTATACGCGTTTGTTTTATAAATTTAGAAATGATTTTATATGCCGAACACAGGCGCGGTTTCAATGCGATCGGAACGGAAGTCGGCGGAATAATATTCGTAAATATCAAGAGAGTCCGCAAAGAGACACGCGCACATACGAACACGCACCAACACTCATGCAGTGCGACCGACGGGGCGTATACGCAACGATGTGAACGCGTCGAATGAACGCTGGCGAATGAGTCGCTAAAGTCGGCAGTGTGCACAGAAGTACTTCGAACATATGCGATCGAGAGAGAGAGCAGAGAGTGAACGTGAGAATCGGAGACCCAGTGGGCCAGTGGGAAGAGAAGCCCCGTATCCCCACTCTCTGTCTCTCTTTCCCCCTCTCCCACAGCACTCGTTGAAAACAAACAGCATTCAGTCAAACGGCGAAAATTTGACCACAACTGCAAATTGAGTAGGAAGAAGCCACAAGTTCGAGGCGCGCGTGGGCAACTCTTGATTGTTTAACAATTTTCGTTGACCAGGGAAAAAATCAATTCACACCGCGCATTAATGGAAGCAAATCGATTAGGACACAATTCACACACCAAACAAAGTCCAAATAATACAGTATAGATAAATAAATGATTTAAAGTACATATTTAAGTATTAAGTATAATAAAATGTAATTCATTTAAATTCAAAATAAATTTGTTTTTGAAAACAACATTTTATCATTATAAAAATACACCAAATCTAAGAGCGGCCTACAAAAAATAATTCTTGTTCTTTCCCTTCCTATTTTTTTTACCGTTATCAGATTAAAGATATAAACCATAATTTAATAAATTGGTGCCATTGTTTTTGGCATCGAGACTTTCTCTTTTCGTATGTTTCTTTATTTGGCTTTCTATAGTTTTTGCAATCAAATGGAAACTCCAATGAAAGTCAGCCTAATATACAGTCCGTTTTATAAGTAAGCAGCTATAAAATCACTTAAATAGTAAAATTGAAAAAACGTAATAAAAATGTTCTCAGAACTAGTTCAATAAATAAAAAAAAAAAAAAAGTAAACAAGCTTCGTAAACCTTAAAAAAAAAAAAAAATCTAAATACATCGTTATTTACGGGCGAATGGCTGTCAAAAGGCATATACTTTTCAAACGGACTGTGCATTTACATTATTGCGATTGTGACTCGGGATCAAAGTGACTAAGTCACCTGGGCCACTAACCGATTTGCTCCCAATTACTAATTATTGCGCTTAGTCATGTCCGAAAAAATGTGAATATAGATTGTAGTTGGCCGATTGCTAAGGTGACTAATTGCGGGACTCCCTCGAACTTTCATTGAAACAATACCCAAAGGTATTTGTTACCTTTTGTTAAAAATAGGGCTACCAGGTAAATGTTTCCTTTTCCATTTCGTCGGTGACTGTCAACAGCTGTTTGTGGGCGGGCTGAAGACTATTTGCCAAATAGGTGGCAATATATATGTATGTACTACACTCACCTAAATAAAGAGCGACATGCGAAAAGAAATCTGACTATATCTGCCCGGCCGAAAATTTATTGATGCCGCTCGAAATGGGATTAGACGCGCGTGTAGGTGAACAAAATATCCGCACAAAAAAACTATATATTTTCGAAAAAAATGAGTTTTGAAAAAAGAGGGCGTAGCTACAAATTATAATGTATGTCAGGGTTTGCTCTTGGCACTTGTTTCGCTTGCCTCGAATGCGAAAGTTCAAAAAGATTTGCGCAAATGTCCAAGACGCTTGCTTCGCTGCTTTGTTTTAGGTTTCTTTTTATTATTTTCCTGCTGTTTTTGTTTTGGCCAAAAATACTCAAATGTGCACGGCACCATCGGAGAGGAGATGCTGTCATAGACGCGCCTTTTATGAGCATTTCGCGATGATGCCATTCGGTTGTGGGCCGCCGGGTTATCTCGGGTTATATGGTGGCCATAAATCCATCTAAGCCTAATTAATTGCCCGCCACGGGTTGGAACAAGGTGAAAACATGGGAGTTCGTTTAATTGGCGGTTCCGGATAATCGCGGATAACAATTTTTAATCGAGCAATGACAATATAAGCCTTTGTTTTGGCTTTGTGGTTTCGGGATACAATGTCACTGTATTTGCGTTAACCAAACAGTCAACAGTTAGCGATTGGATAAGATAAAGTAAAATATAAATTTAATTACGTTTTCAGATAAATATTATCAGGGTACTCCATAATAAATACAGCATTTTAACAATGTTACGAATTCAGATCTAGCAATGAGTGACATTTTTAAAACCAAATTGATAACCAAATTTATTCAGTCTCAACCCTACTGCCTAATGGAAATAATGGCTTTAAACGCTGCATTCGATTAGTCGGTAAATTCTTGTCCCACTTTTCGGATTCTGTTTCCCATCCTCTAGCCAAGAAAATTTAAGAGCTCACCTCACCCACGATTTTTTGATTGGCAACCGATTGCCAGTTGATTGACAAATTGTTTGGATGTGTGCGAGGAAAGGCAGGGCCTAAACGGCATATACAACATTTCGGATTCGAATAGTTGTATACCCTCGGATTTAAGAATTGGTTTTAACATATTTTCTTAATATTACTGTTCTTGATGAGCTTGTAAAGAAAATGTCCTAAAAAGAAATGGAGCTCAAAATGCCCAAATTTTTGGATTTTTATTTAAAGAGATTTAAAAACGTAATAAATGCCAAATATTTTTAAACTACGGGTAGAATTCATAAGGCTTCAGCTCTATTTATATTTATTCGTGTTAAGCCTACTGATAAACACCACTCGATTGTTTTTAGACGCTAACATAGGGACAACAATTCAATCAGTATCCATCACAAACACACGCACTGCGGGCTGCGGCCCATGCCCAGATAAGCAAATGGTTGGATAACAAAGCCTACATATATACAGATAATGCCAATCGCAAGCACAGGGAAGCGTCGAGCTTGTACTTGTGATATTTGCTATAAAGTCGAAAAAAAGTTTATCGCACGCAAACAAAAACGACCTTCAGTAATGATGCCTTTGTATTTACCTAGCCATATTAATGTCGCGTCGAGTTCTTATTGCCAATTTGCCATTTATATTTTTAAAAGCATTTCGGTTTCCGTTCTTTTCTTCCTGGTCGGTTTATGTAAAAGTACTGCATAATTCGGAATGTTTTGTTGATATTTGTCCCTCGCACGCTTACTCTGTTCCCGCCTTTATTTATTTCAATTGCGGTCAGCACTGGCGTTTAAATTTTAAAATGAGAAAACCTTAAGCTTTTTTGCACACATGCCTCAGCTTTCCAATCTCGCTATTTCTCTTTGTATACAATGGCTTTTACTCTCTTCTAGAATGCCCTACAGATTGGAGAATATTAATTAAACGTTTATTTTAGCACGGCAGTCCACAAACAATTTGAGCAATGGATAAGTTAAAATAATATTTAAGCACGCAGAAGTACATATGATTCTAGACGGTACGAGAAAATGTAACCTTTTTTTATTGTTTGTCGACAACGCAATTGAAAAGGAAAAAAACAATTTATACTAAAATGATTAACTCCAATTTTAATGTTATTTGTTTAACAACAGGTCATCAAAAAACAAACAAAATCGTTCTGCAGATGCAGCTTCTTTGAAATCGCTTTCTAGGAACAAAACAAGCGTTTGTGTACTTTTCTCGTAAAACAACAAAAATATTTATTTTACTTACAGTGCATTGTTATTCGACTGTTAACGTTTATTAATTTGGTAGCAGTTGTTATTGCTAAAAGTGCATTACTGTGTTACATCTTTGTGCGCTTTTGTTTCCGCCTTTATGACGATTAAGTGCACTAACTTAATTATTGTCAAAGTGTCACAATAGCAAGAAAAGATGATGATCGAGTGCAAAACGAGATATAATAGAAGGAAATGCAAGGACTCTCTATGAAGAACGAGACAGACAGCCTAATTCTTATGTACAGCTAAATACATACATATGTACATAGGTTAACAACAACAATATAGATCAAAACCTATGTATCTGACACTAATTGGTTTTAAACCTATTTTATGTTTTGTAGTTCTTACCAAAAGTGTACTTAAGCATGATTGAAATTGTTATACTAGTTTCAGGACGCTTAACGCATATATCAGAAATTATTTTATGTTTTTATTTATTTCCTTAGCACACGGTTTTTGGGACTGCCGGCTTAAGGTCTTTTTCCCCACTAATTTGTTTGCTCAATAGTTCCAAAGGAAAAGAGACTACTAACGGTTCGGAAAATTAACCTTTACACACGAATCCGACTAACGGACAAAAAAGCTTAGGTCATTGACCAAAAAAGAAACAACATGGTAAAGAGAGTGTGGCGCTCTTTCATTTTCTCTTAGGGGGCCGAGCACGTTTTCTATGAAAAAAACCAACGACGCCACTTTTACGTGTGTGTGTGTGTGTGCATATATGAGTGGGGAGCTCGCACACACTTACGCAGAAACAAAAAACGATTCTGTTATTTTCCTTGTTTGCAAAAGCAACAAAATTGTTATTGCTTTTGTATTGGCACCAAAGAGTCGCTTACGTCATTCATAATAATAAAAACGCAGAGAGCCAGAACAAAAACATATAGAGCGCAAGAGAACGGACGTAGTAAAGTTGTTATTGTTGCGAATATGCAATTACCTGAGGAATAATTTAACCATTTTGTGCATGTTGCGCTCTCCTTTCCTCTCAGCAGTTTTCTTTAATCAATTTTCACGGCAGCCCCATTGTTTTTTGCCCCACACTTTTTCTCACCAAGGAACCACTACACTTGACACGTTTTGGGCGGAAAAAAACAAAACAACTCTTGGTTTATAACAGAGCAAACATGTGGTTTAGTTTACTGTTTATTTACTGTTGTCACATTTTAAACAAATAACTTTTTGGTTTTTTTTGATTCTCTTTTCAGTTTCTAGTTTCTCACACACGATAGTATCGATGTTTCTAAAATCGATTTCTTTGCATCGACTCGGTAATAATTTTCGTCCGCTAGAGGCGCTTTTTGACTGCTAGGGGCGCTATCCTCAACACTGCTGCCACTCTTTGATTAAAAAGGAGTTGATTGTAGTTCACGGTGAAGAAGTGATGGAATTCGAAAGTATTGATAAAAATCTTCGGTAGACCTGCCACTCTTGCACGCAGATGGCAAGCTTATATAAAAACTGGAATTTTTTTAAAGAAATTATTGCAAAATTAAATACATCTTTAAAAAAATGCAGAATACCGCTCCC